AAGGAGGTGGAAACAACAGTGAAGCGTTTTATTATCTCAGCTATCGCAGAAGAGTAAACTGAAACAGCAAAAAGAATGCCTCAGCTCAACTTTTAGCAAGTTCAACAGCTGCAAAATAGTTATTGGATTTGACAGTTGGAACTTAAAAGGAAGATGAACTCGACTTTGCTTACAGAAACAACAAGAAACTGTATTACGGCACCTTTTCATTGCAGGGCAGACCGCGATTTACTATAAATGACCACAAAAGCTGAGGCAGAAAGTATTATGTGTTCAAAATAAAAACATGCAGAAGTATATTACTAAGGTATGAACGCAAAACACAGACTTACCTGAGGGACTTGGAGCTGGCCTCTGTAACGGTGGCCTAAAACCTGGGGCTTTGGAAGTATCAGACTGATGTAAAGGATCTGAGTTTGGCAAAAATGAAGACTTTCCTGATAGCATAGATTCTGGTGTTGTCTGAGATGAAACGACGGAACCACCCCAGAAGGCATGAGCAGACGTAGGACTGTTTTCAAACAATGTACTAAAGGGCCCAAATGGTAAAGTAGCACTGAAATTGTTACCCATAGACTTGTTTGCTGGATGGGCTGAATTCTGAGAAGCACTTTGTGTACTTAAGGTAGAAGGAAGCTGCACTGAAGAAGGAACACTGTGGGGCCTTTTGATGTGATTAACGTTGAGGACTGCGACAGAAGAATTTTGCACAGGAGCTGGATTCTTATGGACACTACCGGTTCCATGGACAGGCGGCCTGACAGCTGGGGTTTCCATCTTAGCTGCAGGCTGGGAAGACCCCATTGACGTCTGAGACATGGGATAAGTCATCGGGGCATTTGTTGGACCTGCCACAGGAGCGGATGAGCTTGTCGCTGCTAAGTTTGGAGGCACAACCATTCGAGGATCTGGTGCAGGAACCTGAGGTTGCTGAAGAGGGGGTCTTGCCTCTTGCAGAGGAGCTCCTGGAGGCTGCTGATGAGCAGGGTGCACAGATGAGCTGCCGGTACCAGAGCTGGGCTGCCTACTGCTGGTCAAGCTGCTCGTTTCCACTGCTGGCGGACTACCCACTTCTGGATCAGATGAAGGTGCACCTTTATTCGGAGAGGTTGCTGTGCAGTTGGAAGGACTGCTTCTGGAAACGCCTGCTGGCTGTGCAGGGGGAGAAGGAGATGAGGGGGAAGATGCAGGGTAGTGTTCTTTGGCAGTAGGAACTGGGTACGTGGCATTCGTAGGCGCTGTGCTCGTGTTACTCGCCGTGGTCGTCACTGTGGTCGTTGTGGCGTTTGATGTCTTCACGACTGTGACGAAAAGCTGTCTTCTGACTGAAGGTGAACTTGGACTGCCATTTGCAGAAGAACCAGGCACAGTAGAAGCCACTGAACTTGTTGTAGCTGTTGGACTAGTTGTCAAAGAACTTGCCGAATTCACCTGAGAACCACTGCTGTTCTGACTGTTATGGCGAGGCACCATGTGAGGTTTCGGTGAGTTGGTAGCTCTTGCAGGGCTCAACGGCCTAACAGGAAACGGACCCCATGTAGACTGAGCTGGTGGGAAAGTACCTCCGAAGTGTGTCATGGGCAACCGAGGCGGACGGATTTGCTGGAAAGTCTGAGCAGCAAGTAAAGCGTGTGCAAACTGCGGAGGAGGATACGCTAATGGAAGAGAAACTTGGAAACCAGGCCGCACATTATTCACTGGGTTCTTAATGGTTTTGTGAGTGGATGCTGAAGAAATTGCAGGCACGGTGAGCGCAGAGGCAGTCTGAGATGTTGATGAAGCAGCTACAGTGGTCACTTTGATGCCCACAAGAGAACTGTTAGCAGCTGTAGTGGTAGCAGGTGTCGATGACCCTATTTTGGAGTTCACAGCCGAACTTTTCAAACGGTTCTTTGGAATAAGTTCATCAATTTCTTTATCTGGATCCTTAATCAGAGCATTGATCAACTGCGTGGCTTGTCTCGTTGATTCTGTGCCACCCCTATAAAAAGGAAGGAAGAGAAAAGGGAAAGCGCATCTAAAGCATTTACATATATTATAGCAAAGTACCTCCAACACACGATCCAGCCTGTCTACCATCATGCTAACACTGACAGAAAAATAACTCTCTATCTGAAGACTGAGCTTGGCATGTTCTTGCTGCTAATAATTATTGAAGAAGCTCAAGTTGAAAACTCTAACTCTCCAAAACCCCAAATGGTTAAAACTTTTACTTCCCTAAATAAGCCTACATATTTAGCCATGTCTAAACACAGAACCCTAATGTTTATGCTCCACCTTATCTCACAAGTCTTCTTTTGTACAAAACGCTATGGTACCAACTAGCAGTTGGCTCTTGGTTTCCCCACCCCATTTGTCTCCCCTGCCTCAAAGAACCCACTGTCTCAAAGTGATCTTTCAAGGGACAATGAGGTCAAGCCTTTTCATTTTTCAATACAGAAAAGTACTCTACAATGAAAAAAATCCCACAGGAAGGAGAAAATCAAGCAGCCTGCTTACCTTATCGTTATTATTCTATCTCCAGTTTTGTCCTTCTGTTTGTCAATGTCTATGTGCGCACCTGTGCACTCACGTATCGCATTGATGTTACATCCTCCTCTGCCAATGACTCTGGAAATTACAGTTGATGGAACAGAAACCTTCTTGGACCTATACAAAAAAGAAAGAGTATTAACTGGGAAACGCTTCCATGGCATGAAGCAGTGGGCAGGTTGGTCAAAACAATGTTATAATTCATGATTCAACCAATGTAGCAGTAATTTTGTAAAACCTATCAGGTCCCTAAGAAGAAGGTTCAGTAACCTCAGAGAGGGCTACGCTAGACAAAACATTCTGAAAAAGGATGTCAACAAGGTGGAGTTAGGGGAATGTTTTGCTTACCTTCTCACAACTTCCTTCCATCCTTCTTCCCTTTTCTGACCACGTTTAGGACTAGCAATGGTTAGCTTCCCATTTGGAGAAGACAGGGGAGAAGGACCAGATTTTGTGCAAGTAGACAAGGAATTACTCGTCACTTCATTAATAACTTCAGACAACCTTTAAAAGTAATTAAATGCTGTCATTATGCAGTCAAAAAAAACCCAACAGAAAGATGACTTGCATTTTGCCCGTTCTCCAGTCCCCTCAACCCATTTTTCTCTTTTAGCACAAAAGCACTATGTTATTAAGGAGTTGCTTCAATTGAGACGCTGGCATTTCAAAATACCCCAACAATTCCCTAAGTCCAGATCCACGACGATGCTTCTTGCTTCAGAACCTCCTACTAAGTTCAGGTTCATACTACAACAATGTTTATACTCCCTATACACACTAGAGCAAGGACACACCGCCTAAAAACTGATTTAAGAACGCAAGGCCATGAATAGAAGGGCACAGCCTTCAAGTGTACCGCAACGACCACCTTAAAATGGCACACATGGTCACAGCAACTTACTTTATGGATGATTTGCCAGTAACTGGTTTCCTCTCATCCTTCGGACAAGTGACAAGAACTGACGGTTGCTTTTTGTTGCTCTGGGTGTTAGTAACGGCTGTGGAAGAATGATTGTCACTTTTGTGGCTGCTGTTGCTATTGCTGCTTTCGTCGCTACAGCTGGAAATCCTCATGTTGTCACTATCACCACTTTCACTAGTACTGCTGCTCTTAGATTCACCATTCACTTTTTCTGGTTGACTATAGGAAATTGGGAGTTGATCATCAAATATAATCTGAACATTATCAGAGGTTACTTTGTTTTTCCTGTTTTTCCTTTTGGAGCTTGCTGTGGTGATGGTATTATTCCTCTTCCCATGGGAACCTGCTAACGTTGTCCAAGTCGCAGATATACCTATGGTGGTTGTAGTGGTAGCACTAGGAGGCTCCATGGGGACCTCTGGATCATCTGATGGAAAAGTTAAAAAAAACAAAACAAAAAAAAACCCCAGTAGTAATTTAGCTGGCTTGAGGAAGCTTGTGTGGACATCTGTAGAACTATTAACTATGTCATACCATGGAGCCTTTCCCCTTCTTTATGATAACTCATATGGAATTTCATTCTTGTCTTGGAACAACTGCAGTAGCAATTTAACAAACACGAAATTGAATCCAGGCATGGCAAGACAGACTCAAGCAATTAGGGGAAATAAACAAGCATGTGAAGCAACAGAAAAAGAAATTGTTACGTCTTCTTTTTCTTTCAGCATATCAGTGAGTGAATAGTGAAAACCATTTCTCACTACACCACACGAAACTCATTGCCACAAGATACAGAACAGCCAGGTTTCAATGGATAAGAGAATGACAGATATTTGGTATTTCCATATTGTCATTTTTTTCAGCTAATCAGTATTATTATCCTGTTTGTAAGCTAGGAAAAAAAAAAAATTGACCTGGTTTTAAGAATTGGACCTGGAAGAAAGAAAGAAAAATAGAAAACCCAACCCAAACAAAAAAAGACCACCAACAAGCCAACACCATCCCCGTAGTAAAGTTATCCCGTAACTTCCACTGAAGCCATCATGCTAATCTACAGGCTTAACAGAAAAGGTAAACAACAGGAAAGCTCAGCAGATCACAAGAAAGCTTGTATTCAAATTTTGACAAGAAAAGCAATTTTTAATACTGGGAATAGAATGAAGGTCATGTTTCAGAAATCAATCAAATATTTTAAATCACCTTCAGCTTTTAGCTTCTCTTTCTCCTGAGCAGCTTGAAGTTCAAAATTCTCTTTATTTTTTGCTTCTATTTCTTCTAGTTTTCGTCTTTGTTCTTCTTTTTTCTTCCTCCTTTTCTCCTTTCTTTTCTCTCTTTTGGCAGCCAAAGCCAGTCTCCTGCTTTCTTCCCTTAGCTACAAGTCAAGCACATGGAACAGTATTACAAGATGTCCCATCCATTTCAAGAAATGTAAATGCTTTCTATTTCCTAGGAAGCTGAACCTGCATTTTAGACTAACATATTTACAAAACAGAAGCTAAATTATCTATGATCCATATTTTTATGTATTTACTTCTTCCAAACAGATTGTTCACTCATGAACAGAAGGTCAGCGTACAGAGGACAGACACCATATCAACTGAAGTCAGAGTTCGCCGAGATGCATTTTCAGGATTCTTTGTGTAACCTTGTGTGTCTCAGCAGTACAGTCCAAACAACACCCATCTCCTTTTTGAAGATTAGAGCATGAAATGGTTTCAGCTAGCTTGAATATAAACCACGCACTCATTTCACACTATACTTGTACTTTGATTTTTCCATTACATTTCTACTAAAGTGCTATGGTTTCTAGTAACATTATTAATATTTTTTTTTAATATTTAAGACAGAAAACAGGGTTTAGACCCCAAATCCATATCGATGTGACTGGAAAATGCCCATCTATCATGCACTTGACAAAAGAATTAGAAATCCTTCTTTTGGTACAATATTATTCCAGAGGAAATAGTTATATCAAGAGTTTCTTGATCCAATTTCTCTGAATAATAGTGAAATTTCAAAGATTACCTGAACAAGAAGATGCTTAGCTCTAGACACTCTCATTATGGTAATTACACATACTCCTTTAATATATACTTTCACCGATCTTATAATCTTGAAGGAACATGAAATTGGAATTTTATCAAATAAATATTCACAGCTCCAAACTCTTTCAACTTGCCTTCTCCAAGTCCAGTTCCTCTAAAAGAATGCTTGCATTTTTGTTGGCTTCAGCAGCCTGTCTATCTTTGGCTTGAACAATTGATTCCATACACAGGTGGCACTTCTTCAGCATCTCCTAAAATGATAAAGTACATCAACCCTCTGATTGAAAAAGTAACACTGCCTGTGTTCGAATGTATTATCTCAATCTTACACTTGTAATGTAATAACTGTTGCATTACTCGCACAGAGTTTTTTTAAGTGAGATTTTTAAATTCCCTCCAGTAACCTCCTCTTCATGCCCAGCCTTGCAAACTAATATTCCAGCCACAGGTGTGATGATCAACCAATAACCTATGTCTCGGTGTTCTATAAAATTGTATAAATGTATAAATAAACCTACGCCCACTACCAAGACAGAAAAACTGTATGAATTAAAAGGCTAAGGGTCTGAAAGGTGAAGCAACTGCAGAAATAAAAATGTATCATAAAGCAAGGCTGCCTTTTTTTTTTTTTAAAGACACTTGGGAAATAGGTGACTATTATAGTACTACTCACAAACCTATATTGGCTGCACAGCAGTGAAAATGCTTAAATGCACAAGGTGCCTAGCATCATGGTCAGTGGTCACAGCCACTGGCAGTAAAACACATACTGATTTAAACATCAACACCTCTTCAGCCTTAACATGCTCATCACAACTTGATGCCCAGAAAGAAGACAACTCAATTGCAGCGCAGTGGATCAGTGAAGAGATAGAAGCATTACGACCATATTTTTGCGCCAGTTGCTATTCTCATTTCTCTTCCTACAAAACAGTTCTTGCCCTCTTCATCTGGATGGAAGATAAACCAATGAAGACTGAACTTCCACAGGGAAGAGCAGCAGTCCACTTAACATGCTATAAGAAACCACTTCACTGTCAATTATGTTTTCTGTCTTCTTTCTAGTACAAACTTTTTTTACAAGGTTGTGAATTTTCATACTTAAGGTCACACACGCTCTTGGCAGAAGTTCATTCTGTTATCTCCACTCCACTGCAAAAGCCATCATAAATTCAGTACGAACTTGCTCAACAGGGAAGAATGCAGAGCAGAGCAAGGTGATGACTGAGAGAACACTAGAAAATGGGGATGGATAATAAACAACACCACCCTTACTACTATTCTGACAGCACTAATGTGCACAAAGTTACTGTGCTTGCGTGTTCTGACTTTTTGCAATGTTTTTTCTGAAAAATTTCAATGGGAGTCATCATTTGGCTGAAATCTGGTGTGCAGGAAGCTGAAGACCACTCATAACATGAACTCTAAAGTTGAGTCACATCACTATTCCTTCTCAAATATTTTCTTTCCTACAACCTTACCTTATCAGTAATTGTTGCTATGTATCTCATGCATTCCGAGTCTGACGGAAACTGGTTTACTTCTTTCACTAGGTAGCGCACCACTTTTACATGACCCTGAAAAAGAAATTTCAAGGACATTTTTTATCAGGCCAGCTGCTTCTGGTTTGCTAAGAAACACTTGTAGCGCAAGCACTCATTGCAAAATATGTATTTTCAACTCCTTCAAACTGTGCTCAACAATTAGTTGTTTATTTTGGGGTTTTTGTTTGTTTTTTAATCTTTATCACCTCCCGAACTAGTGAGGGATGTTTCTTCACATTTACGATGGAAGAGAAGGCAAGCAATTACAGTACCTGTCGTCAGGTTGCCCTTACTCCAGCCATACTTTCACAAACTTCTGCCTTTTATTTTGGTAGCTTTCAAATGCCCAGCTCTGGCAACTCAACAGTTGCCGGCTCCTACAGTCTTTTGCAATTTTTCAAGTACTGCAGCACTTGAACTACCCTCCCTTGCTAACAACAATTATCTCTACAGTCAAATTTGCCTAAATCACACTTCTTTTTGGCAAAAGTGCTCATCCTGTCTTGCATAAGAAACCCATCCCATTCCCTCCCCATTCTATCACACATTCCCCCTCTCTACATAAATACGCTGCAATTTTCACGCGTCAACAGACCCATGAGAACCAGTCTCAGTGAAGTGCTTATAAAGCAAATTTCTACTAGAATTTAACACAGATATTATACCGGTGACACACATACCTATTTTTGAAGATTTAATGTCAAGAATTAAAACTAGCTGACATTTTAAAGTATGTAGTTTCTCTCAGCTACTTTCTATTTGTAACAACTGTGTAGGGATGATCAAGACAATAACAGCTAAGATCAAAAGCTGCACTTCATATTCTACCTTTCGAAAGGCTGCCATAAGAGGAGTTATTTTCCTGTTATCAGCAGCATCCACATCAGCTCCAGCTTGAACTAGCAGTTGGACAACATCTAGATGCCCTCCATTTGCTGCCAGCCAGAGCGGAGTATTCCCCTTCTTGTTACGCACATCAATGTGAGCTCCTCTACAAAAACAAACATGTTTAATCAAAACTCTGAACCAAATTTTTGTTTCATCTATCAACTAGACACGGAACACAAGAACAAGAGGGTAAAATTCAATACTCATTTTTGCATCAAACCTATGCATTCAGAGAGTGCTTCAGCTTCCAGAATTACATTTTTTGTTTCTTCTGATGCTGTCATGAGCCTCAACTCAGCCTAAAAACATTTTTAACGCTCTAAATCATGCTGTTTGTTAGCTGTCTCTGAAGCTTCTCTAATTACTTCATTAAGTCCCATCCATCAGTACACTGTATTCTTCATTAGCTTACTCAGAACAACTTAACGACATTTTAAGTGCAAGTCAACCACCAGTGTGACTACTTGGGAAATGACATATCCACAAGCTACTCGGGAAACATAATTACACTGAATGTGCATTGTGATCAATCTAAAAAAAAAAAAAAGAATTGTTAAACATACGTTTTGTGCGCATCTTCCGTTGTTTAAGGACTTAACTGTACCATCTGAAATGGCTGTGTGTCATGGTTATGAGTACCATATACATAAACTTTACACGAAATTGTTTACTGCTAACATTCATGATTCAGTGAGACAGGAAAAACTGAATTAGTCCATTTCAGCAAAAGCAAGAACTCTAACACCAAAGAGAAGTTTGATCACTTCTGATAAATAAAAACACTTAGTAATGGTTGACAGACACAGAACCTTTCCCATTTCCTAGCCTGTAGTATACATTGTGAAATATTATTGTATATTGGGAAAGATGAGTCTAAGTAAGGCCATATTCAACATGCTTTTCTTCAAGCAGCATACTTGCAAAGACAGTACCTGCTAATGAGAAGCTCACAGAATTTGTAGTGCCCTTTGTCTGCTGCAATAGTTAAAGCTGTATCTCTTGAGGAAGGTACTGGAGGAGCATTTACATCTGCACCTTTGTCCAGCAGAACTCTGCCCACTTCTGCGTATCCACCAGAAGCTGCTTCCATTAATGGTGTGAGACCAGTCTAAGACAAGCAAGCAGGAAAAACAAGGAATTAGTTGGGGGGGGTGCGTGCATGTGTGTTTTAACTTGAGAGCTAGGATTTATTTCAACTTCCAGCAACATATTTCTAGTTCTGGTATACAGATTCCAATTGTTACCTGGCCAATTCTGTAACAGCTTAGCAACATTGTGCAGGTGAGCTCACCTTCAGCTGGCTGGAGAAGAGCTTTCCCTGAGCTGCACCAGGGCCCTGTGCCGCTGCGCTGTGCCAAGAGGGATTCCAAGCCCACCGCTGCCAGTTTCTCAAAACTAACCCAGCCAACCCTGAGCAGATGAGGATCATCAGCATTAAGTCCCATAAAGTGCCCATGTTATTATACAGATGATGCAAATGGCATTTCCTACCTTCATTACCAGATCCTACATTGCAACATACAGAAAGCATCTGGCTAGGTCAAGGGGACACATAACTTTAGCAAGAAGAATACCTAGCAGCAATCAGTACCATGCAGGTCCTTTTGAGCTCCTACATGGCGACCATTAAGTACAGTAGAAAAGGAGAACAGAATGACACATTTGCAGGAGGTCTCTTTTTTTTCCTCCCTCTCAGTATTCTAGGCATTTTTCTAGTGAACAGCCGTTCCTCCCATTTAAAGAGCTGGGGTCAACTGACAGACTCCTAAGCACACACATCTCCTTTCAATTCTGCATCACTGCTGTGGATATCAGCAGCTGGCGAGACAGAAGACATTATACCATGAGCATACCTAGGCCAAGCTTCTAGCTATTTTTGAATACACTGAAACATTCTATTTTTATTGTTAACGGATTACTATTCTTATGCTTGTAAGCACCTGAAGATGAATTAAAGCTTCAGAAGAAACACTTGTGTTTTGATGAACTATGTAACCACCAAAATACTACACCTTAAGTGCAGCCACTATTTGTCTTTAAAATATATGGTTCAGTTCAGCTAACTGAACTAGAGAAGCTAACTTGCACAAAAGGCAAGAAAATCTCATAACCACAGACAAGCGATGACCTACAAGCATCTCTTTGGAGACTTGTTCAGTTATTTGCTTCTTACCTTAGCTCTATGTTCCACATTAGCTTTTCTATCAAGCAGCAGGCTAACCACTTCAGTTCTCCCTTGGAAACAAGCCAGAGTCAATGCCGTATTCCTGTTGGTCTCTATCTGGGCATTTATATCAGAGCCCATGTCCAGCAACAGCTTGACAGCAGCAGTATGCCCATTCATGGCTGCCAACATTAAGGGAGAAATGCCCAATTTGCTACCAGTTCTGAAAGAGAAAAAAGAAAAACCAAAAAACTCTTTAAATCATCTTCACATTTCTAAAATGACTTTAACAAAACTAGTGAAGGCAGAGTACTTATCCAAGACCGAAAAATCAGCTAAACAGCAACTACTAGTGAAACTATAAGAGGTTTACCATTGCTGAGAACAAATATTTCTACCTAGAGATACTCTGCATGTTACCTTTTAATTGCTGTAAATTTAAAGGTCTCTTACAAGAAGCGTAACTTTTGCTTGGACCTTTCGTTTGACTTGTGCAGTGCATGGCCGAGCTATTTTCTACCTCCCAATGGATGCAAAAGCATTACATACACAGAAAAAGCTTTCATTCAACTACACAGTGAAAACAAAGGGATAACAAACACACACACTTTCTTCACGTAACCCAGAATTAATTTCAATCCAGCAGGCCCAGAGCAAAAAGAAAGATTTCTATCTTTGACAAAAGAAAACTGATCATAAGATATAAGAAAGAAGTTAACAAAATACATAGATGAAGATGGAATTTAAAAGAGCATTAGAAAAGCACAGTCAAAACCTTTTGTTTCTAACTTAAGAGGAAAGAAGCCTACTACTAATTAAACAATACATTGGTTGTGATCATGTAAGAATAGTAAGATCTTGCTCCACCTAGTTGTGAAGAAATCCTTCTGGAAAGGGTAAAAACTCAGAACACTAGAAAAACCATGAGAGAATGGGTGAAAGTGGAACTTGCCTGGAATTTATTTCTGCCCCAGCATTTAGCAGTATCTTGATAATGTTCACGTAGCCACCAGAAGCGGCGAGGCTTAAAGGTGTGTAATCAGAAACATTCCTGTGCTCTTTGTTTGCCCCTCGAGCTAGCAGCAACTCCACCACCTGCAGTGTTTTAAGAAATAACATCTGGTTTTCTCCTGAACTTGCAAATCTATCCAGGGCAAATGTTTTTGAAGCCTAAATATACTGTTGACTTCTTCCAACAGTAAGAAAGTGATTTTACTCAGTCACTTCCCTATACTCCTCATCTCCATGAACAGATGAGGCTCCAACTATATTCCTAAAGCCACTGTAAAACTTCCTTTAAAAATCAATCATGATCACTCATTAGCATGCTTAAACCATTCATACCAAATTGTATAACATAGCAAAAAAAAAAATTAAGGTCTTTTTATGATTATTTCAGCTGTCTTTTTAAAGACCGATAAAACCAGAGATTCAGTTTGAACACAGTATACAAAGTACACTTGCTTTTTGTCCTCTGCCATTTTAATGCTCAGTTCACTATCAAGTTAAAAACTCATCCTCAAGCTGAAGCTGCAGAGCAAACAAGAAAGCAGTTGCATGCTTTAGTCTTATGTTCTTTGTTTACATCACTACATCAAATGGTGTCTAGATTGTACACAGAAATCTCATGCAACAGTCATTAGAAAAATTAACATTTGCATCTCTTGCTAGTTTTCTCTGTAGGTTAACACCACCAACACAAGTACTTCTTACATTATTCCTTCCTCACAGATTCATTTACAAACCAAACAATTCACAGCTTCCCATTATTCTACATGAAGCTTACATTCTGTAGTGAAGATTCTGCAGAAGACAAGAAACTGAAATGTCTGGCAACGTAAAATCAAAATGAACATTGAGGTGAAAACCCACTGTGTCATCTCCAGTGCAGTGTTTTATTTGCTCCACTTTCAGCATGTAAGCGTAAAACATGTTTGGATTAGACCTGCACAACTGAAGCCAAGGGCTTTTCAATCAGAATATTTTCCTGTGAAATCACAAGACAAACATACTGCCAAATACAAAAATCGGGGTGGGAGGGCACCCTGACTTCATCTCTACCACCCAAAGCCCAGCGTTTTCACGTCTTCTTCCCCAAAAAACATGAAAGAAAACATGATGCATTCCTCCAAAAAATACTGTTTGAGAAACACAGCTCAATCAAATCTCTAAAATGGTAAGCATAAATTCACCTTTGCTGTATGAGGTTGCTGGCCACAAAGGCTGTTACGACAGACTGACCGAAAGGCAGGCCTTTCCCCTCCCTAGAGGGCATATGATTGTCATTGCAGCTAACCCCCCCAAAGTCTGGAATCTTCCCGATGGCACTAAAAACAGGCCAGAGGAGCCACGGAGTTTTCAGTAAGACTTTGTCTAGGGAAGCAATCACCTGTTAAAATGCCACAGTGTCACTGTTAAGACAACCTGCGGAAGTGGGAGAGGTGTCTCCAACCTCATTAATTTCCAGACGACCACACAGGAAGGTGGCTTCCTTCCACTGTGGCTTTTGCAATCCAAATAGTAGAAGCTTTAACAGAATTATACTCTGAAGATTTGTAACGACCATTAGAAAAAAATAAAAATGCAGATTTCATAATTTAGTCACAGAATACAGTATTTCACATAACATTCAAAAAAACTTCCCCTACATTTAGTTTTGATCAATCATTTGAAAAATGGTTTTTGTGTTTTCAGAGACACTGGAGCCACCTGCAGTACTCCCGATATCCTATGGCCTATACAGAATCCATGAGAAAATGCTCTTGGCTCATATATGGAACTGATTCGTGTCCAACTGCAGCTTCTCAACAACAGCACTCATCACATTGACTTTCATATCTACATCTAATTATGCTGGTAAAAGCCCCATAACGAGCCACTAGTGACTGCAGTCATGAGGTCATCTGCACAGCACTGGTCTAGCTTATAAAAGGAGAAAAGGCAATCTATATGAGACATTGCAGCATGTAACTTCGAAAATGTGAAGCTCTTCACATCCTTTTTAAAACACACCAGCCTGAAACAGAATGGTGAACTAAGTTACTGTAACTTTTCTGGAAGACTGCTTTAGTATACTGACACAATATGTCATCTACACACTGCTTTTGAAGACTTAAGTTTTACTTCACCTCTTGTCTCCCTCCTGAACAAGCCAAAGACAAGGGAGTGTCCTTGGTTCTCTCAGACTGGGCTTCAATATCAGCTCCATTATCCAGCAAGATTTCAACAACACCCACGTGGCCAGCTGTAGCAGCCAAAATAAGCGGAGTAAACCCTGAAATAAAAAAGGATGTTTGAAGAGTCCACATTCATAGCTTATGTTTAAGTGACACAAGTTAAATCACAAGAAGAGCAAGCCTAAAAGCCTCACATAAAGACTATACTTATTGTGTATTTATTTAATGCGATACACTGGAAAACCAGAGAGGGTCTCTATTGCCATAGTGAGATACATACCTTTCTTGTCCCTGTGTTCAATATTAGCTCCTCTCTCTAGCAGTGTTTGTACTAGTTCTTCGTGGCCACCAGCACAAGCAAGTGTCAAGGCTGTGTCATGATTACTCTCAGTCTAAAAGAAACAGACATCATATACACAACAAGATAAATATTTCCATTTTCAAGTACAACCTGTTATATTGCATATTAACCCAAGCACAACTGTACCTGCAACAAAATAAAAAGCTTCTATAAGCTTAAGACATGTCTACTGATTACCTCACAGTTATTTTCTGTGTTCAAGCTCATAACAGGATTCGACTTCAAGTCAGGTCTGCTGGGATATTTGAGAATAAGCCCTGACAAGAACTGAGATTCTTCAAGAACCGAGACTCAAGAACCAAGATCTCATCTGTGCTTTGCTAACTAGATCAACTTCTTTACCACTGCTTGACTGTGACCTTTAGATGGTATAATGAAGATACGAATTCTGTCTTTAATTCTTAACCCTCTGGTCAAACAAAAGGGGGAAAAATTCCCAATCTCACCACTACTGTTGCTGAAGCTCTGAACAGTAGAAATCAGCTACAGTTGAGTCCACAAGTCACGGTAATAGAAAAGAACAAAACAACTGAAAATACAGAGAAGTCTTTGAGCTTACGCTCTGCTTTCAAGTTTTTTCCCTTTAGAGCACTCGTACACTGTCTCTAAGTGAGCGTTTCTAGTGCTAGATAATTCTCAGTAACAGCAGAGAGCCCTTATCAACCTTGATTCTGTAAATGAAATGCTTGCAATGAAACAATGTGTATTTAATTTCCCAGTGTTGCCAGGGCCCATGCAAACGACCACCATCCTATTTGAAAGAGCAACTGAGAAACTCTGAGGACTACTGACACTGTTGGTTAGAGTGTAGGGATTGACTAAAATGATCTTTCTCTCTTCTTAAACACCACCACGAAAACAACACACACACACTTTTCAGCTACTATGACAGCTCAGTTTTCCATTGTAACATTGATTTGTATTGGTGTCTACCAGCTAGCAACAAAGCCGGTCAGGTTATGGCAAGAGCTCCTGGCCACAGTCACAGCAGAAACCAAGCCAAGTGCCACAGGCAGCTGAAGTAGCCAAGGCTGGTTTTCCAGAGGTTTCCCTCCCTTTCTCCACAACAAGTCTCATGCCTTTCCTCTTCTCCACACTGCCCACATCTTAGCCATGTTATGCATAGTCTTGAGCTATGCATACAGGTATGCTAGTTATACTATGCATGCCTTTTTTTTTTTTGATGGCTAGCTAGCTAGCTGCAAGTCAACATGAAGTAGCCCTTTTTAAAATTACTTTCAATACAGGAATTCCTTTTCTTTAGTGGAAATGACAGCTTGTATTATTTCCTCTTGTTAAAAAAGTTACAGAAATTATTAGTTTCAATACTTTCATACTTCTGTCAAGCTGGGTGATCATCGGCCAACAACTGCAAGCACAACTGGAAAAACAGTGTGCAACATTTTAAGGCTTATTTTTGTCTCAAGATACCAGGCCAGAAAGGTATTTCATTTCTGTCAGAAGACAACTTCACTATTCCTCATAATCACTTCGCCCACAAAGAAATAAGAAATACAAGTGTTTAGACACTCAAAGACCTTCTCTTTTGTTCAGTGAGAGCACAGAGGAAAGTGGGTTGCAACTCTCCAGGGAGTTGTACAGGCTTTCTAAAAGCAGCAAATCAGGTCTCTAGAACCCAATTCATTATACAACTGAGCTGTTTACTATCGTTGAATTATTCAGGATGCAGAAGTAAAATAGCTTCACACATCTGTGCTGCGGTGACAACTGCAGGCTCACCTGTGCATCGATATCTATAGCAGGGTAGATTGGTAGCATGGCTGAAGGAGAAATGATAGGACTCGGAGTTGGCGTCTGAGGTTGGGAGACAGAAGTTGCAATGCTGTGGGTAGGAGTGTTTGACATTGCAGATGCTCTTCCACTCACTGCTGTTGAACAGAATAATTACACTTAGTAAAAGCAAACCACTTTTACCTCAAAAGTTTAATGTGACAATAAATGGACAGTGGGACAGAACTCCCTAAAAACTTTACTTTCCACAAATACATATTTTCCACACAATTAACCCAATCTTTGAACCTGTAACTCTTTGAATTTAACAACTATGAAAAAGGTTAACTGTATTCGAAGAAATAGGTAGGTATCAGATTGGCATGTTTTCTAGAAGCCCACCACAAATTTTTATTTATTTATTTTTTAAGATCAAAGAGTTTTCCTACAACAAGTCAGCCATTATTTGGACCAGGAGTTCCATACCTTCAGAAGCAGGACTGCATACCAAGTCCAATCAATGGGTATCTATGCGATTTTTATTAAAACACTTTAAAGATTCACATATAAAAGGCTGTCCAAACTTTACCGCCCACACCCTCCACCCCCACAAACATGACAAAAAAGCAACAGTGCTAGTGTCAGGATGCTCACATGGCAGAATTTGTTGAAACCAGAGAAGTGGAAGCTTCTTAAGAGCCATTTTGCAGAAACTTTGGTCAAGGTTGTTAGGATAAGCAGAAGGTAATACCATTTTACAGTTGATGACAGTATACCGACATGACACATAATAGCACCGACTGCCACACTTCCCTGAAATTCATTTCATACATGTATGTTTAAAAGTATAGAGTAAATTTGAATCTGAAACAGCCTTTGGGGAAAACCTCCCATTTTCCTACTTTCTGGGTTTTTTTTTTCCTTGAAAGAACTCAATGTTTTTCTCCCTGACTTTTCTCCAGTATTTCTATGGGTCTTTATCAGCTGTGATCAGCAAAGGAGAAAGTGAAGTACTGTACATTTCTCCTGTCAGGTTGACAAAAGCACTTTTAACTGCAAAATGAAAGAAATGCAGTTTCCACATATTGTCAGTGTTCACCTAGTACACAACACCAAGTAACCTTATGGAACACCAAAATAATGCCCCTTTAGCCCCAAATTTTCAAGTCCTGTTCATTTTTCAAACATGTTTAATAATCAGCCATGTCTTTAACTGCCAGCCATTGATAATTAGCTCCTAGCTCCCGTATTTAATTTGAAGCCAGAAGTTTTTCAACAAATGCCAGAAAAATTGTATCCTAACGTGCCAGTGTGTGTACTCTGCAAGGCAGCTATGTTTTTCATGTATTACTAATTTAATTTCTCGACTTTCTACACCAAATCCCAGTAAAGAAGCTAATAAGTGTCACTGAGAAAAACAAAAGAACCCCCAACTTAAAACAGAAAAAGTATGATTAACCTTACATTTAAGAGTAAATCAAGATTCAAACTCCCTTAATCTTGGTATTAGAGTGCCTTTTGAAAACTCTTCTCATCTTGCAAGACAAATCATGCTAGGCAAGTATTAAAAGAAATGTACCGAAGCTAAGCCAAAATATTCTGACATAAGGTCAAAAACTATGCCATAAGGGAGTTGTGTACAGAGGAGAACTAACCAAACATCACGATGAGGTATCATTCTGTGGAGCATCTAATTTAAACTCATCTCATTCCTTATTCTGACTGTAAATTAGAGCTAGAACCTAAAACCACAATTTCAGATTGGTTTCCTACAGAAGCGTAAGAAGGCAGTTTCAAGTCCTGCTCCCCTCTTTACATCCAGAGTCAGAACAAGTAATTTTGAAAAACTAGCATATTTACTTTCTTTCTATTAATTCAAATAGGAAGTTAAAGCAGCATAAAACAGTAATGGAATTATAAAGGATCATGATTCTTGACTCTCAGGTCTAGTCCGAAAGTATCCGATAAGGATGGTAAAATGGACTGGAAACTAACCAAATATACTTAACTCGGATGATACAAAAGCACAATCATCAAACAATCCACACATGAAAAAAGTTAACCCTGCTACAGTAGCACCTGTATTTTAAACAATTGCTAAGAATTACTGTTGTAGTCCCAACAGAGGGGCTGGGGAGCATCTACTATGTTACAGGACGCACTGTTAAAGTTGTCAGACTTGAGGGGGGAGGAAAAAAACCAAACAAAGTAGTTAGGAAGGTCTCAATTCAGACAAAGTCTATTTTTTATACCAATGGTGTTGCCGTGCAGGGCAGGGGGGAAAAGAAAAAAAAAAACAAAACACAAAACAAAACAAGAGACATGTTTGAAAGTCAACATCCCTCTTTCCACAAGGAAGAAAACCTTTATTGTACAACTCACATATAAATGTTTTTATGCATGCTAGTTGAGAAGAATATGCATGTTGACTTACAGTTGTCATATCAAATATATTTCAAGTGTGCTTCAGCAACAATTCACAGACAAATATAGTTCATATCCCTAAAGCACATTTCACTGAGATAAGATATTAATTTTTATGAGTAATTACTTTGATTATATTTATTTCAACATCACCTGTGCAGAGTTCAAATTTGTAATGAACATGCCAAGGGCAATGAACAGAATCTTTACGGTTTTCAAACAAAAATATTTTAAAAGTTTTCAATAAGCCAAAAGGTCTTCGCAACAGTCTTGAGCAGTGATCAGAGTAACCAACTAGCTTGCTCAAATTTAAATGCACTGACAGTTAAAGGTTTATCTTTCCCCTCTGTGTCCCTCCATCTACTCTAACAGACCTGCAGCAAACTTTAACTAAAAGTCTGTACTTCAACACTGCAACACTAACACTTCATGCCTGGGATAACAAAGTCTACAAAGCTAGTTCACTCTTCGAATATTTTAGTATGTATGTGCCTTGGTATGGGACCAGCTACCAGTCTTAATCGTGTTACGAAATAAGGTCAAGCTTCTTTGTCAGAATACATCACCCCAAGCACCGTTTGACTACTCCAGTCAAAGTCTTACATTTGGTTGAGTATTAGACAACCAGTTTTATGCTTACTGATATTAGGAGCATAGCTGCTCTTCATATTGATTTCTTTCTGGACAACTCAACTTTCTCTTAGCTTAAATTTAAAAAAGGACATCCTCACAGCTGCTACCTTCTCCCTCACGCCCAACAGCCACACCATCCCAAGAAGCATTTGGCTTATAAACGCAGCCCCAATATCAGGGAGGAAAGAAAACAGTCAAGTTGACAAATTAAAAAAACTGGAAATTAACACAAGATACTTAATGTTTGAGCCAACAGGACTTTTTCCTCCCTGATCTACATGTCCTAAATCAAAATGTATGTCTGGAAAAATGCCTGACATTTTGAAAGGAACATGGGGTTGTTTGCACTGTAAAGTTTGCTGCTTCCCTGAATACTTTGCGTTTTCACTAAATGCAAGATGTTACAGAAACCAAGCACCTTTATAATCCCACTTCATCTTTATGTTGACCATTAAGTTTCCTACTAGTGTTGTCTGAGTGTGGGCACAGCACTGCTCTTACGCACTTTTCTTAACTCCTGTAATGTCAACAGTATATGTATAAAAGAACTGTTTCACATTGCATTCCAATAAGCCAAGATGAGGGACTGGAAAAAAACAAAACCATTAAAAGAAATATATTAGATACCTCAGCTTTTTCCAACTTGTCTCAAGCTAACTCAACAGGCTTGTTCCACATCAGTTTCTTCTCCTCTGCCCCCAATTTCTCTGTAGTATCTTCAGTTATTAAAAGCTATGTTCCTGCCACACATGCTTAAAATCAATACTGAACACTTCAGCTGCATAACATGCCTTGAATTACAAGAGTCAAAGCTATGTTCTGAATTCAAATACAAACACAGAGCATTCCTTCTATGCACTAACAGTTCCATGCATGAAGCCTGGAAACCACACCCCACCTGCAGTCTTGATGATTATTAGTTATTGTCTGGAAGGTGGACTATCACAGGCTCAGTCCCATACAAAACCAGCTGCCTAGCAATAGATGGAAGTCTCTTAATATTTCAAGGACAAAGGCCTAAATGCATTTACCATCCATTTGCAAGAACACTGTAACCATTGTCAGCAACCAATTGTAGCTATACCAGTGCGTAAGAGCTTGCATACCCAGTTTTCTGCAGCTCCCGCACAGGTCACAAGTGGGACAGAAACTCCTGATTTTTCTGTGATGCTGGTACTCCACAGTTATTTTTTCAACATTGAGTTTCTGTGAAGAACTTACCAAGTCAGTGCATATTCTTTCTTACATATCAATTTAGACAGTTACAGTTAAAACTGACTCATCCCATAGGGCAGCTTCCAGGAATTAATCTTACAAAGTGCTTCAAGATTTGCAAGGCTCTGTTACTGGACGTAATCCATTGAATAGTTACTACTTTTAAAAAGTTTGATATTAAAAACAGAGATATATTTATTTTTCTTTATATCCTTAACACACTGTTTATAACATATGAAATGTTTTCATTCAAGAGTTACATAATCGACCCTAAAAAATACTTCTATTCATTAGCCTCACAGCAAGCAAAGAACTTGTCCAACATCTGAAGCTGAAGAGCAAACCCTTTGCTTGTCATCAATTCCAGCAGGATCAGAAAGGAGCCCGAAGTTAAAACTGAATGGTTATTTACTACTTTTTCAACTTACCCTCTCTCAAAAAAAAACCAAACCATCCCCATAACTTGGTACATTCTCTCACAATGTTTCCAGGCAAATTGCATAGAGCTCTGATAACACCCATTAGCTTCTCTAACAGCAAGGAATCCTACTATGAAGTCCCAGAGTTGATCTAGGAACAACACTTGACCTCCACAGCAATGCCCATGTCTTATACTCGCCTCTGATGAATACCAGCATTTGCACATCTGTCCTTTGTCTAAACAAGTACTTAAAATGGGAAAATTAAACTCACTGTTTGCAACTAATTAAGCACAGAGATAAACAGTAGATAAAGTTTACAAAGCCAAGGTGAAGCTTTGTTTTTGTAACTGGTGCTGCAAGCCACAGCTCTGTGATGGAACTAAACTCAAGTCATCTCAGGATCAGAGATTTAAATCCATGTGAATAATCTACAGGGTTCCTCTATTAAAGCAATACACACAGCC